ATACGTAAACTTAGTTTCTAGCTCTTCCTAAACCAAAAAAAAAAAAAAAAATAAAAAATTGAATCTTTTTTTGAAATTTTACTTTTTTAGACATTTTTTTTAAGGATAAAAGGATTGTTACATATATGCAACAAATAGGCTTGTGGTGAAAATAATTGCAGTATTTCATAATGTATTGTAAGAAGTAAAACCAAATAATAATTTGAAACAATTATTTCTTTTGTTAAAGGAGAGTGCTACGCCACATTTTTCGCACATTATCTGTGAAAAACCATTGCAGTTTGGATATTTGCATCTGTTTCTGTTGTCAGTCCACGTTGGCCAATGCCCAACCTGATCATGACGCACCATTTGATTTGGTACATGTTGGGTTGGACCTCTCTGCTGTTTTAAATTTTGTGTCTACTTTTCTCAAAACCTCGGCGATGTGTAGCTGAATCTCTGATGAGCTTAAAAGTTTTTTTGTCGATGCATTTTCTTTTTGCACTCGTTTATACAACAACCAGGCGTTGCTGACTGTGAAGTCCAGCAGGTGATAAAAAACCCGGACTTGCCAACGTCTGCCCCTTATCCAAATTTTATACCTTCCCATTATGCTATCTATATATCTATTATATTCTGCTATTGCAAATGGACTTTATTGTAACGTCGGGCTGTGACTTTGGGACTTATCCCCGCGTAATTGGATGCCAAAGTAACAATTTTGTTATCCACCCATGAAGTTAGGGAAATGTCCACTCCACCGTAGTCGGCAACATATTCCACTGATGTACCTCGTGATTTTTTTTTAAGTTTATCTGGTCAATGGATTTATGGTTTGGAATTCGGTTTTTTCTTATTGTTCGCAAAGCTAGAATTCCTCCTTCCGCCAGGTACTTCAAAAAGGGTAAGGAGTTGAGATAATTATCAAAGTATAATCGATAATTCCGATGCCTGGGCATATCTCTAGCCAATCTGACGACACAGTTTGATGCCGCATCCAAATCTGGTTAGGCCGTACTTTATTTTCATTTCCACTATCTATTTTGAATTTTTAGCAGAAGCCTAAATTACCGCTAAGTACAAAAATCCTATAGCCCCATTTATGAGGCTTGTTGGGATTGTACCTTTTCATGTGGTTTTTAGCCTTTGTTGAACATATCTGTTCATCAACACACAACAAGTAAGAAAATTCTAGTCGAGAGTGCTCGACTAGATACTACCCTGAACCCAACAAATAACAAGTAAGAAAATTCTAGTCGAGAGTGCTCGACTAGATACTACCCTGAACCCAACAAATAAAAATGCTCATTTAGTATGGCTGAAATTTCAATTTCGATGTATTTAAAAATATAAATAAAATACCAAACTCATTTAATAAAATATAAAAATATTTTGAAACAATTAAAAAAAANTCCGATTTGCCACGCCCCTAATGGGCGGAGATATATCCGCCATAGCTTGTGATCTTGGGTGATCGGCGCGGACCTACATACCAAATTTCAGCTTTCTAGCTCTTCAACAAACATGATTTCTGGTATATTGGAAATGCATTTTCCGATTTGCCACGCCCCTAGTGGGCGGATCGGAAAAATTTTAACACTATAAATCGGAGATATACACGAGTATGTGTTCCAAATTTCAACTCTCTAGCTTCAGCAAGACGGACATTGCACAAAACCAATATACTCATTTCACTTTCGTGAATGAGTCTAAAAATTCGAATTCACATTAACAAGGAAGACTAGGAGATACCTTGTACTCTGCAAAACGTCCTTAAGGTCCAAGTATTCTACGATTCTTTTATGCACACACATACACATGTTCATACCAATTTAGCCTGTCTTATGTCATAGGGATATATATATCATGCAATTTTATTCATTACCATTTAAGATTAGATATACTTAAACAGACAACAAGCAACAAAATGATGTTTGCTAAATCCGTATGTTCCACGTAGCAATATTATATATTTAATGGCGGTCTTGCGTTGCCTAGTGTTGGGGTATGCTTAGAAAATTCAATTTGCTGTCGTAGCTGTTTTAGTTGAAGCTGAGTGGTTCGAATTTCAGATAAAGTGGGCGCCAAGGGCAATTTGAACCAGTTGAAATGGTTTCCAAAAATCTTATGTAAGTGGAGATTGAAATTTCCAAATTTACTTTGAAGCTCTTTGGACGTTCGCTCAGATAGCTCTTGAGCTTTAATACAATGAAGTAGCCGTTGATTGTTAAATTCTTCCAATATATGACCATATGCTTGGTAACTGCTAAACTCCTGGCTTAATCGGTTTTTTAATTCTTCCCGCTGCTTCTCGCTCCGCCATATTTGAAGGCACAGTCGGCCCATGTTCAGTTCATGTTTCGCACTTTTCTGATTCAAAGCATTTAACTTTTCTTGTGCTCCATTTAGTTGAGCTTGTATTTCGGCTTCAAATCGCAACTTGTGGTCCAACTGTTGGCTGATTGAATGATTTGCTTGGGCTTGTTCTAATAGCTGACTCTCTATATCCATAAGTTCCTGCTTCAGCCGCATGTCTGTTTCATCAGATAGCTCATTTTTATTAAAGGCTAAAGATTCATTTGCTTGTGGTGCAAAGTCCAAAAGAAAATCAAACATCAATAGAACATTTTGGAATGATGCACTGGGCACCAACATCCAAGATTTATTCACTTTATATGGATATTTCAGCTGACGCATAGCCAGGATCGACTGCTCTATTTGATTGTCCCTGTCGAACGGTTTTAGCCGAATACCTGTGAATCTTATCAAATGACTAAGAATATGCATGAAGTCGTTTAGGCTCACTTTTTGCAGGCCTGGTTTTACCATCGTTTGAAAGTCCTTTAAATTCCGTAGATACGATACGATGCGAGTCTCCATTTGCATCAAAATCTCCTTGGTAAAATCTAGCTTACGTCCAAATGGACGGCCACATTCCTTTGGATGCGTGTAAGGACTGAGAAAATCCGTCGATTTTGATGCAGATCTTGTTTGCAACTGCTTCGACACAAGGTGCAGCGGAGACTGTTTTAACTCCTTTGTAGATCGTGGTTGCATACAAATACCTTTCGATGCGGAGCCAACAGCATTCAGCGATTTAGATGGGCAGTTTGCGACTTCTTTGAAATGCAGTGGCGATTTTAGGAGCTCCTCAATTCGGCGCGGTTCTGTGAAACATCTTTATTTCGATCATGCAATACAATCTATCATCTAAAAGTGTGATCTATTAATAGTGACGTACTCAAAATGTTTACGGGGGCTTCTTAGTTGGTGCAGGGCGTTGCTCTCTGGATCGTCATTTGATGACTGGGAATGTTTAAAATCCATTTCAATTATTAATTAATTTGTCTCCTTTTTAATTTGATGCGCAGTCTAACCAGCGTTGCCACTTTTTGTAATATGAAATCGATTACATTTAAATATTATCGAAAAACCGGCAAGAGGATCGATTTGGCGGGTAGATTTAATCACTAACCAACCAGTTTTTTTTTTCAGATTAAAAGTTTTAATTTTTTGACAGTGTAATTTCTGTGACTACTTTACACTGAGTTGTTTAATTTTTTTTAGTTTAGAGTACAAAAGTATTTCTCTTTTATTTAAATGAGAGAGTAATGCTGACAATAAATTTTCGTTTCAATGTTTGCATGAGTGAGCTGAAAATTTGCGCTTTACTTTAGCTGTAGCTGACAAATAGTTATATTTTTGTCAACATAAGCGTACACCTTTGAAGCCAAACAGGTATTTAAAAAACTGGAAACTGTCATATTACTAATGTAGCTCAGATTCCTTAAAATAAGTATGACAGATAGATAGATATGTAATTTATCTCAGCAGATGAAGGAGCCGGTGCACCGGTGTCTGGTGGAAATCAGAAAATATATTAAAATATTGTAAATGCATCGTATGCATGTGTTATTTCTTGTGTATACAGAAAAGTGAAGATTTATTAGAACATGAGTTTTTCTAGGGTTTCAGGGGCTGTCGTGGTCGAACTGTCTCGACTACAGAGCTCTTGTCTAAATTTAGAGGATTTTTAGATATTAGATTGGTTGCTGATTCGCATATCACTAAATAATTTTGCATTTATTTTATATAATACAGTACATGTTGCATTAAACTAATTCAATATTATATATAATGCGTTCATATAATCATATAATTTATAAACTTTATGCGACTTTTTCACATAACTTTTTTTCACAAAACAGCACATCAACATTTGAATGCTGATCTTTCGAAGTTCTTAATTCACATCGCCTTCAATTTTGGTAACAACAATTATTGCTATTTTATGTATTTAGATTAAAGTATGTCGTTACGATTTTTGAAATATAACATTTTTTTTTCTACGTTAAGAGTACTCGTGATATTTTGTTCTCTTAACTTTAGAGTTTCTCTGTGCTGGTATATGATAAATAATTGCTTTACAGTTAAAACCCTTCAAGTGTGCAGCACTTCATAATATTAAACTGATGGCCAAATAAATACTTGTTTCATTTATGACAACAGCATTTAAAATATTTACAACTTTATATAAAACTATAAAAGAACATAAAACTTCACATACCGCGTTTATTACTCAACTTGCTATTTATATATTTTGTTTTATTATATATTTGTGGACCGTTTGAATGACTAACAAGTTTAAAATTTCGCTTCTCTAAAAACTCTCTACAATGCTCATTCTTTTTGGGGTAGCCGCACCGGTATGTGTATGAATGTTTTTTATTAATAATGAATAGAGCATATGACCAAAACTTAACATGGAGTGCAAAGATTGAGCCAAATAACTATGCAAAATACGCTTGAATAGGATGCATTTCACGAAAAAAAAAATCTGAACATAGTGCCTACATTATAGTTATACATACGTATATGCAAATAGGTATTTCATAATAACAGTAACTATTAACATAGCGGACGACAACGGGACGCTCAATTAGAATTAAACATTAATCAACAAACTGACCACAAATCGACTACCACTCATTCCTGGCAGAAGCCCTCAGTCTCCTCAATGGCAAAGGTCAATTTTTCCACCAGTTGATCGTAGCTTTTATAAGGTGGCAAATCCAGGCGGTTGAAGCAAGTATGCGAGCGTGGTAACCAGGTTTCTTTGCCCACCTTTTCGATGCAAAACCTCTGCGGACCATTCGAGCCCATCAGCTCCGCGAAGCCACCGACTGGAACGCGACATGTGCCCGTTACAAACTGCAAAAGACGGGCGCGCTTCTCATTGTCCGTTTCACGTACAAACTTAAGGGAAATAAAACATTATTATATATACAACATTGATAAGTTAAGCAATCTCACCTGCCAAAACCAGACCACTTGTTTGGAATTTCGATTATAATGTCTGTATATTGTGTTGCGTTGCCAGTCTTCAACATCCACGTCCTGCATACCGCATAGTATAAGTTCTAGCTCGCGTTCGTCAAAGTACTTCAGCCACTCGAGAGGCACAACTTCGTTAAAGCCCTCAAGGAACGTCTTGGTTTGCTGTTCAATACCACTACAAAAATTTAATGAATATAATAAAGTGCACAAAGTTTTAAGAAAATCTAAATTGGATCAAATATTTACCGGGTCATACGCCACTCGGTCATAAGTGTTATGTACTCCTCCTTATTCTCCTCTGTAACTCGCTCCTTCTCGCCATTTTCTTTTAGTTCGTGGTGAATTATTTGACCCAGAACTTCAAAGTCCACGCTGAACCACAGCTCAAGACCACATTCGTCAATATTATTGTCTCGCACCCAAATGAGCGAGTTATAGAATTCGGGATCAATGGTCTCAATGTCCTTGATGGTCAGCTTTTTGTTTAGCATTCGCTTGTAGAAGGGCATTGTGAAGCCACTGTAGATGAATCGTCCATGATACAATGCCATGGCAATAAAACGTCCAATAAACTTGAAGTACTGCAAGTGGTCCGGATTCACATAGGATGCAGGATTAATTTGTAGACTATAGTTATTCTTGTTTGCGTACTCGAACAAACAGTACATGGGATTTAACACCTCGTGCGACAGCAGAAAGAACCACTCGCGTGATACGCCGCCATAGTCCAGGCCCTCTTCCCCACGGAAGATAATGTACAGTCGGCGACGTAGTTCATAGGCGGGTAAGCGCATAATTTGATGATATGAGTCTTCGAATAGCGTCTGCCGTGTAACAGTGATCTTGATATGCGAGGGCAAGGCATTGCTCTGGCAGAGATACCGGAACTGGGATAGCTTCCAGCGGAAGCTGCGTTCGTAAGCACGCGGAACACCATAGACGCCTTTGGCACCCTTTGGCGCGCCTGGGCGGGGATCCTCAAAAGTCGTCCGCCTCGTATTGTGATCAACAAAAAATCGCTCGCCAGCCGCCGTGTAGCGTATTTCCCAACCTGGTGGAAGTGGACCCTCATTGATTAGGCTGACCTCCTGTCCCTGGGTACGTGGATCCTCCCATTGGGTAGTGCGGTTCTTGTGATTCACAAAGTAGACTCTATTGTCAGATTGCACTTTTTTTTCCCAGCCATCCGGCAAAGGACCCAGCGCATCTTCGTCATCTTGAGTCACCTGCGCTGTCACAGCCGTAGGTTGYTGCTGCTGCTGAGAGTAGAGGAACCGCTGATTACCCTGCGCTACCACATGAGCGCGCTGGCCCTGCCAGTGCTGGAAGTGCATTAAGCGTTCGCTGTTCGGCCGTTGCCATGTAGTCTTACGCGTATTGTGGTCCACATAATAAACTCGACCCCGCACATCCTTTCTTATTTCCCAGCCGGGCGGCAGCGGCGTCGGCTTTTCCCAGTACGTAGAGCGTGTGTTGTGATCAACGTAATATCGCCGTCCGTACTGATCCAATCGTATTTCCCAGCCTGCAGGTAATAGCTCATCTTCCGCCGGCTGCGTTTGCAGCTGCGTATCTGCACCATTGCTCACAGGTAGTCCAGCGCCGCATACGGCTTGATCCGGCGCGCCACCTAGCATGTAGTTTGCCTGCCCTCCATTTTCGATCGACCCGTTTACGTAAAGTGGACTCTGAGTAACTGGACGTTGTTGCACCGGTACAGGTGCCGGTGGTTGCTGTGGGTACGGCGCTGTTTGTGGCACWGCTGCTGCTGCGGTGCCATTACTCATTCGCAGTGGTTGCTGAGGTTGTGCCACCTGCTGTTGTTGCTGTTGCTCCCATACTGGCGGTGCAGCTGAGCGTCGCTGTTCCTGGGTCACACCATTGGATAGTGGTGAGCGGGTAGCCGCCGGCGGCTCCGCATTATTGGAGCGAAGACGCATGCGAGCGCGCACACCTCCATAAATCATACAGCTGCGGCCCGCAGCTGCAGCATCGCTCACCACAGGATTAATCGCCTGGACGGCATTGCCATTTTGCTGCAACTGGCCCACCTTGCTCATGTCTAGTTTAAGGCCATTAAGAATCGCCACCAGTTCTCCACTTTTAGTTTGTCGATTGTCGGATTTGGAGGTGACAAACAGATCTATTGTCAGTTCGAGGTACTCGCAGCGCCCGTTATAGTGGTGCAATATGTGGCCTAATTGAATGACACGCTCTCCCAGCATTGCATCTTTGCGAAAGCTCGAATGGTCCAGAACCTTGAAGTGCAGCGTTGAATTGGGCGTGATCTGAGCAAATCGAACAATAATTATATCAATTAAAAAGGGGATAAACCATACATTGTAAGTAACTTACTAGCACTGTAAACTCCTCATTCCATTTGGGCAGATAGCTGTTCTTTACTAAATCTGTCTTACGCTTGCTCTTGCTGTCTATTAACAGTTCCACGTAGGGATTCGGTTTGAGAAAACCATTATTGCGCAGCGAGGCTTCCTCAACTGTAAAATCAAAACAGAATATCAAAAAAATTTTATGATTTCGAACTTATTGTATACTTACTTGTCACGCTTAATTGATAATATCCTTGATTACTGCTCCCAGTACCGTTGCTTCCACCACCTCCATTCGCAGTCCCACTTGCACCAGCTACTGCCACTGCTGCTGTAGATGCAGATGTTCCCGGTAGGTTTGGATTACTGCCGGCGATGTTAGTTACAGTTTGTGTAGCGTCGAGACTGTCGTTGCCAGCACGAGAAGCTGCACCTGCTGCCTGACCATTTCCATCAGCCATTTAAATGCTGCTCCTAGCTGCTTGCTAGTCTTCACGCCTATTAATCCTGCCCAGCTGCTCCTTGCCGTTTGGACTGTTGGGAAATCAAGAAAAGTTTTATATCCGATAGCTACAGCTAAGAATTAAATCTTCACAAGGATTTTAAAGATATAATGAAATTTTTTTTAAGACTGACAAAACTATAACAGACACCACATCTTAGTCGATTAATATTAGTTTAAAGCGACCTATTTGCAATGGACTCAGCGCTATGTATTAGTAAATTGATTAGATTTTGCTCTGTCTTATAGCTTTATTATCATTATTTTTTTTATGCCGATACCTTGTTAAATCAAAAAAGTTTTATTATTCAGAAACTTTTTGTTTCAATCTGTTCGAACTTCGAAGCTACAGAAAAAAAAGAACGACTCTAAGAAAGAAACAAAGAGAACTTATAGCTACTTTTACTGATTAGTACTATATATTTATCTTAGTTGACATATATATATAAGCATACATACAAATATATACATGCACATATCATCGACATGCAGACTACATTCTAACGATTTTCAAGCCATAGGTGTACATATGGGGTTTATAGAATAATTTTGATAGCACGCACTTTATGAGTACAACCACTACCACTTGCCACTTGTCTGAATGAGTTGTATAATCGTGACAATGAGTCACAAACGAAAAGTACGCAGGTAGTACAATCCACAATATATACAAATTTGATCTATGCATATATATTTATTAATTTTTATGTCATTAATGATAAAGCACTCTATTTTTTTTATTATCGCAGTCAATATTCTCTATAATGGGTTACTTATTGTTTGTCAATTGTTTAAAATATTAAGTAATAAACTATAAACCTAAATATTCATTTGATTATTTTTATTTAATAGGGGAAAAAGTGGTATGACCATAAATTACAATTGTATGGAATACAAGATCAATAAATTGCTTATTTTCTAATGTCAAATCGAGTGCAAAAACAATTAAGTATGTATTAGCAACCAGTATATAGAAAGGCCGAAATAAAAAGTTACTGTTGTTATCGTGTAAGTATGTATGCACTTGTTAGTGCATGTGTGTGTGTGCTTGGTGTATTTTTTATTAATGTGTGCGAGTGTGTGTGTTTGTATATATACTGATATGATGAGGGCAAGCTAAGATTATGGGCAAAAGGAAACTTAAATAGCTATGTAATCAACGAATCGAGACAACAGCTGCGTGAACCATATGCACAAGCGGTAATATAGTTAATGTATACATACGTATTTAAATTTGTATAAATCTATTAAAGGGATATGCGAAATAAATAACTAAGAATGCATTCAATATATACATATATACGTATGCAAACACAAACACAAAGGTCAGTTGGGTGCTGAGATTATTGTGGGGTATGCATTGACACACCTGAAGCTTATGTGCTCACGAACAAACATATTGGTTTACCTATGATACACCCGCACACAGCAAACCATTCACCAGTACTAATGTACGCTTACGCATGTAATGCACAACAGTTCTACATATGTAACCGTTTACTGCTATGTATGTGTTTGTGCATTTACATATGTATGGGTATGTGTGCCACTGTTTGTTTGTAAATGAGGCAAAGGTCGCGGCAAGGCGGAAACTTAATTCCTGCGTCAAGCCGTTTTCTTGGAAAAATTAACAAAATATAATGAGTCGCATTTTTAATGCACACAAGTGATTTTCCAATAATGTGTCTCACCTATTTCGATAACTCTGAAACTCGAAGTATTTCGCTTACCTCCTGATCTTGTTTTCCTACAATTTATGCACTATCAGCCAAAATATTTATTTATATACGATTTTACAAGAAACGAACAATAATACGCAAGCTATTTGAAATAATTTATAAAATGTGCGAAGCACTTGATAGTATAATACAGCTTAACATTTTGTATTTTATTGTTGGTGTTACTTAAATTACAGAATCAATGCATTGGCAAAAAAATTAGTTTTCGTTTCGATTAAGAGCTACCAGCTGTGGGATATATAAAAATACTAAAATTAGGTATACTGAAATACCATTAAAATGAGCAGTATATTTTTGTAAAGTGAAATACAGAAACTGTTATTTCCTTTATTAAATGCAACAAAACGATACACATGCATTTCGAATTTTCTTTTGTGCTAAAATTATTGTCTTAAGACAAATATTTATTTTATATAGACAAAACAAACATCCAAGTAAACATATAGGTATTTTTTAGGATATTTTCTGTTTTTAGTGTTTATATTTAGTACTTTTAGCTTAGGGGCATAAAGCAACAAGCAATTAATAAATTTTTGTTATTTATAACAATGATAATTTCTGTATGAATACGTCTTCAGCATGTATACATCATAGTAAATAACAGGGCTTATTTATTTAATTAAATATTATTCTTTCTGAAAATCGTATCTCAACAATCGATAAGCGAGTTTTTTAATACTGCGCATATCGATTACTGATGCAACATTTCTCCGTTAAAGATTAAAAATGTGGAACATAAATTTTTTAAAATTAAAATAAATTCAGTTATTATTAATTGTGTACGAGTAGGTCCATTTAATTAAAATATACATTACTACACGAAGTTCATTCGATTTACTTTTCTATTGAATTCCATATGATTAGTATATTAATTAACAGCATATATTCCAAATGCAGTTTTGAAACTATATTTTAAAATATATAAACTATATGTCAATCATGATAAAAGTGAATTTACTTTTACTTACCCTCGTCTAAACTGTATTTGAGTGCACAGTCAAATTTATTAATATAAGCAATTAATACCTTCTATTTTGTTTACTCGTCGCTTTATACCAATGATGAGGTGTAAACAAATTTTCTTTGAGCTTGTATCACGCTTTGCTCTATATTCAGGTCTCGCTTTAACTCACATTTCTCCGAGACGCGATGTCTGAGCGCTAGCTTCGACAGCACAAAGAGAAAATTATTAAAATTTAACATGCCACGATTCGTGGAAGTTCAGCCATTCGTATCGCGCACTTTGTCTATAACGGAAGCTTAATTGGCGAGCTGGAATTTGGTCATCTCTAAAAAAATAAGCTTATTAAAGGACATTCATACCAACGATATGCATGGACTTCTAATATATTTGTGTCTTTTAACCAGCCTATTTTACTTTTCGGAAGGTACTATAAGGCTTAACGAGTCATAAGTGATTTGTGAACAAAATACAGATATAATTTGAAAAATACAAATTTATTTATTAAGTTGTAAACTGGCTAGATGTATAAACATAAAAATAAACTGTTGAGATTCAAAGTGTGCTTGATATATTAAAAATTGATCAACCTGATTTTCGAAGTGATTTGGATGTTTTGTTCATAAAATAAAGTTGATTCTGTGCATAAGTTTAGAAATTATTATGTGTACTTAATATTTGCATAATTTTTCCTCTTTTTCTTCCTATATGTTGTCCCGTCGCTTGTGGTTGGTGTTTTAGGTAAACCATGTCCCGAAAAGAGCCGTCGCCATAAGACACGCTGTGATGCTTACTACAAATGCCGCGACTTGCCCTCGAACTCTCACGTCTGGATACCCATCAAGTGTAAAGAGGGACTTGTCTATGAGCATAGTGTGGGCAGCTGTGTGCTGCCCGCCGAGGATTGGGAGTGCCTAACTCCTAATGAACTGAATAATGCAACCAACAAGCTGTCAGTCATGGGAAGCAAAGATGCCGACATTATTATAGTCAATACTGATGATGAATCGGGTGTTTTACTCAAGGAGTCGCCACAGTCACATGATGATAATGTGGAGATTGTTCTGGATGCTTCCTTAAGCAGTGAGGAGCAGAGTGCTCAACCTTTCAAGCCTGCACAGGAAAGTACTGAGTATGAAAGCTCCTCAAGCAACACATTCGATTCCAGTGGCGATGGCGAACTTGTCGACTTGGATAGCCAAGTGCAGCTAGAAAATCGAGAGGGAGCGGTCAATATAAGTTACCCTACATCCGCTGTGGACCTAGAACCAATGACATTAAATAAGCATCCAAGCTCTTCAATAGATCCTACTCTTAAAGCGCATTTGCAGCGTCTGTCGCAGCTGATTGATGGACTGCAGCAAACCTATCAGAAGACAGACAAGCCCCAAACAGAAATGCGACCAGATCAGTTGAATGCTTTTTTGGCGCATTTTGATTTAAAAAACCGTTACGACATGTTCAATCCTTCGGGAGAAAGCCACACAGAAACCGCAACTCCTGCGCCACCTACCACACATACGACGCCTATGACACCAACAATGCCAATGGAGGTTTCGGCTAGCACCATGGCTGCACCAACAATTCCACTGCCGAAGCCAACGGCTAATAAGACCCGTTTACAAGAGCATTTAACGAAACATCGAATGCAGCCGGAAACCAAGCTGATGCTTTCAAATGCCCAGCCGTTTTCCTCGTACGGCCAGGGCTATGCAAACTCTCAAATTGTGGTGAATCGTCCAGAGGGATCAGTTACATTTACACTCCCTCAATACGGTTCCAGCGAAGAGCACAGTCACAAGTATGCTCAACCTCAGAGTCATGAGTACATGGGCGACCATGAGCCCAAGGTATCAGAGGAAACATTGAAAACGGTGCTGGAACTGTCCAAGCAGATGATTTCCGCTCAGAATATGCCAAAAGTTATTCCGAATCCAGCATATAACGGCGCTTTTTATGCCCAGCCAATCTTACAGCCTATCATACTGACAAACCATAATAATCCATTCCAGCAGTACTTCTCGATGCAAGACTATGAGCCTCATTCGCCGCCAAGGTCGCATTACATGCATCATAAGAAGCCGAGTGGATACAACAAAAAGCAGTCGCAGCCTAGCACTACGATCATTCACAATAATGTTATACCCGTACATCTGGCTAGCACAAGCTCTGGCGAAAAGGAAGTACTTGATACATATGGCAACAGCTTGGGTGTCTATCCAAGCAGTAACAACAAGAACAACCAAAATCAACAAATGGAGAGCAACAACTATCTCAACAAATTTATGGCTATAATGACAACTCCACGACCGAATTCCAGCTCCAGCTCCATATCGGGGATGTCCGTGACGACAATGAGCAGCCAGTATACGGGTCAATACGCGGCTCCTTACGCTAGCGAATTTGTACAGACAACACCCCGCCCCTTCGAGCATCAGCCATCGGCATCCACCGTATCATCCTACTATACGCCTAGTCCGCATCTCAATGAGAATAATGCACATCGCGTATTTAATGCGGAAAGTTATCCGACGTCTATGTCCGTCGACTTGAACATACCGCGCCCCATGGACAGTCACAATCTATTTCCGATGCATCTTAAGCCAGATCAAGTAAAAATCCGACCTAATTCCCAAAAAATCGAAAGCATGGAATTAGATGCTGATGAAGCGAGTAATATTAACTATGTCAACAACCATGCGAATGCCAACCACCTGCACACGAACAACTACAACAACAACAACAACAACCAGAACAGCAACAATTACAACAGCAACCAGAACAACAATCGACAAAATGGGCCCCATGTACTGACCTACAGCAGTGGCAACTCAGCGGATATATTGGGCATGAACAATCAATTAGCACCTGGCTCATATGTGGAGCAGAGCTTTGCGATGAATGAGCAACACCGACCTGACTACAATCCAGCCTACATGCCCAATCCGCCAGCGACTATGAGTAGTGTATATAACGAGCCAGTGCGCAACAGCATGTACCCATCTCCAATAAGCTCTGCTAATAGCATTCAGGTTTTGCCTGGGAAGACCAAATATCCGTCTGCACTGAATCAGCTCGTGAACTTTAATGGCAACTTCATCAGTTTGGATGTGTTTCAGAAGTCGATACTGCCATTAATGACACAATCGCCGTCGGCGTTATCCAACCTTGGCAAGGTGGAGGTGATTACATGTCAGGCCGGAGTACGCCAACCCAATCAGACGGACTGCACTCGTTACTTTGTGTGTAGTAAGAAGGACGGCAAAGTCCTGTCATACTCCTGCCCACCCTACACAGGCTTCAATAAGCAGACTCGCATCTGTGATGCAGTAACTTATGCCCAGTGCGGCACTGTCCAAGTGCTCAATGGCTATTCTATCGAGGAGAACAAGCGACTGCAGATTGAGGCGCTTAAGATTCTGAGCGAAGCCAAGCGACGACAAGAGGCCACGCTTAAGAGCCAGAGCATTGCTAATCTTCTGCAACAATATAGCAGCATGCCGGAACCTAGTGCCCCTGCTGTCTCATCCAGCATGGAGCACAGTCTTCTGGACTCCTACATTCTCAGTTTGCCTGAGCTAACTACCACGGCGCGCCCAACGTCTGTCATTCTTACTCTGCCTGATATCAGCAATAGCAATAGCAATGACAACGTCAATATCAACACTAATAGCAATACTAACATTAACAGTAACAGCAACAATAACAGTAACAGTAACAGTAACAGTAACAGTAACAATAACAGCAACAGCAATGGATCGGTGAAGAAGCGCAAATATTATTGCAGGGAGGGCGATAAGATACCTGATCAGACCTCCATCAGCAGCTATTTCGTTTGCTACAAGACCGCCCAGGGTCAGATGAAAGGTCACAAGATGACCTGTTCGAAGGGGTTGCTTTTCTGTCCGCGCACGCTGATGTGCACTCTCGCCAGCAAATGCTCCGGCTAGTTGGCTAGCAACGAAGCTAAATAGAGTTATAAGTTATTTATTTTACACTTAAGCTATGATTCCTATATTAAACCAATAACAGTAACATTGACACCGCAACAGATGGTTTTTGTTTCATATACATGTGTACATTTACTTACAGCGCAGTTCAAGAGGTCATTGTGAAAGTAATCTTTTTCTTTGTATTCTACCTGTCAAGCATGTCAGAATTTCTCTCATGACACTCGCAGTGCTGTTTAATACCAGTTCTTAAATAGCGCAAACGACCTTCTTATAAAACTCGACTTACTCGAGGCCTGGAAGTATACATATGCGTATACACAAATACGAAATTCCGAAAAAATAACATGATACCCTTCCAATGAGTACAACCATTTTATTCAAGAAGAGTACTAAGTTTTGGGCACATCAAATGAACAACTGTTTAAAAAAGACAACCACTTAGCAGATGGCAGAGATCCGTGAGGATAAGAGCGAGGATTAGTTTTAGATAAGTGCTCGACACACTTGTCAGGGTATCTGCAAACCGGGCACTCTCGGTCTGAGCACTCTTACTTGTTTTCCTTGTTTAAATGTGTGCCAGGGCACTTTCTGTAGCTATGACATGGCGGCTACTTGCTATGGGTAGGAAGTTTCACTATTTTATTGTGCTAATAATTTTAAATGGCTGGCTTTTGTTGTTTGAAACTATTTTAACATGTATTATAAGTTTATGGATTCAAAGTAAATGAAAAGTAAGAAAAATCTAGATTTCCATACAGTGTGTATAGAGTGTATTTTTAATAGCGAATTTTTTACGCAACTGAAAACTGCTCGGAAATCAGTACTAAATTCAATCCATCGACTTATACTATTTGAAGCATGATTACATAAGAAAAAAATGATTTAATTTAATAGCTTCTTGTTAAATATATTATTATTNACTCTAGCAATAAAGGTGTAGAAGATATAATTTTATAACTGGTTTTCGATAAGGTTTTTTATCGATAAAAAAAGATCGGGATGAGTTATCGATTTTTAATGATAAACTTGATATGCGCGCTGTAATTACGGACATTTTAAAAAAAATTTGAAGTCTCTAGCTCTTATATCTTCTGAAATCGACGCGTTCATACATACGGACAGACGGACAGACGGACGGACGGACAGACGGACAGACAGACGGACAGGGCCAAATCAACTCAGCTCGTCGCCCTGATCAAGAATATATATACTTTGTGGGGTCTGCCACGCCTCCTTTTGCCTGTTACATACATTTCAACAAAACCATTATACCCTGATTTCCCATTGAAAATGGGTTCAGGGTATAAAAATGTTCGCTTTGTGCCAGCAAAAAAAAAAAGTGAACAAAGATGCTGGAGAACTGTCTGGCTATTGCCTTCGACTGCACTTACATCGCATAGCAGGTGAAATTGTATTCATATGCGATTAAAAAGGGATTTATTAACAAGTATGAGATATTAGATCAGTGAACTGGACGAAGGCCAACAAGAATAAGCGCGCACACTTCTGCCGTGTTGATGATATTAGGGCTCCGGGGTAAACACCTATGCACGACAATTCATATGGACCAACACAACTCATTTTTGCTAACGGGCATGTTTTAACCGTAAACTCACAAATAAATTGCTTCAGGTTTTGGGACGAATAGGGGAAAGCCTTAAGATAGCGCTAATTTGTATGGTTTCAAGAATATTTTACAACTTTACATTTAGTTTTTCATGCAATACGGCGTGGCTGTTGATCGTCATCTGTGGAGTTGACCGCAATGTTTTTGCTTGTTATATAAATTTTAAGTTTTCATGCATGCAGACAAATTTAATTTCCATTGGGTTCAGGGTGTAAAAACTATAGCAATTAACGAATAACGACAAGAGACTTTAGCAAGTGCAAAAGGCAATTCAGGTAATTGCAGCTAACATAAGCAAAGCTGATGAAAGTGTTTTTACACGACTGGATGAGTTTTTTGCCTTCTCATTATTCATTCATATTTTCATATAGCTATGTATATCTAACCTGTTCCCGGCATTTTTAATTAAAAGAAAGTCCAATGGGATTTCTAGCTGAGGATATACCCTAAATTCGAAAATTGTGAATTGTTCAAAATCCAAGCTAAAGTATCGGATATTAACGATTTTTATACGAGTTGTAGTACTTATGGTATACTATATATTGTACAAATATAATTTCAAGTCCCACATCTCTACAATAGAAAGGCACATAGTTATTATAGTATAGTCGATAGCGTCCGACTTGAACATTCATAAATAGTAGGAGTTGATTGGGTTTCAAATAGCCATCGTAGTTGTATTTAACTGTATAAATTATAGTATTTCGAATAAAATGTTCAATTTATTCTTCAAATCACATTAGAAGAGATCTTTACTTGCAAATAAAAAATAACCACTTTAAGAACTACAGTTGAAGTCTATTACTAATTATCTATGTAAATTAATTCATGTGATTTTTAAACTTTTAACAATTACTTAAAGATCTAGGTATATTTTAAATATGAATATTGCTTATACATATTAACTACTCGTTAGATATTTGAGAACTCCTTGAAAGTTTAGTTCCAACATTCGTATTATTAATTAGCATTGCTCTTCACATTCGTTCTCCCTTAGTTATAATATCATTCCATCAAGTTCAGAATTGGAAAACTACTTGGAACAAAAGTACATTTAACAAATTTTTAATTTACACAAATATTGATTTCAATATTCAAGCATTTAGCTTTTCCATATGCTGATTATCATAATCTATATAAGTATTTAGGATTACCTTGTGTTTGTTTATTATTCAATTATCACATTCTTTTTGATGATGATATATATTAATTTTTTCATTTTGACTCGTTTCAGACATTGAAGCTACTTTAATGGTTAATATTACTGTACGTTTTGTTTCCTTTCATCAATTACTGAACTCAGGAATCGGAAATAGGAAATTATGAGCATCTAAAATTGTATCTCACACATAATCGAAATTGTAGTGAAAACTATGACACAAAGCACAGGAACTATATTATTCGCAATTTCTAATTAACACAAAATAAAGAAGGTTTTTCGTTGACAACGACTCAGACCATGCCGAAGCCCTCGCTGCCCTCACTGATGGCCAGGAGCAAAGATTTCTCGAACTGCTCATAGCTCTCGTAGTCCGGCAGGCAAAGTTGATTGAAACTGCAAGCAGAAGGTAAACCAATTAAAATATATATACATACATAGATCGAGCTGATAGATACGCACCAGGTGTGTGCCGTGGGCAGATTACCAAATGTGGGCGCTGCGGTTATTTGGAATTGTGGATTCAGCTCCTGAAACCCACCAGGCGGCAGCTGAGAACAGCCTGTGGTGAACTGCAGGAGACGGGCCATTTCAGTTTGGCTAAAATTACTAACAGCCGCCCAGAACCAGGCGAGCACACGTCGAAACTCTGCCGAGTTTCCATTGGCAATGTGATGCGACTTAAAATCGGTTATCGAGTACTCGCCAGTGCCGCACATCAGTAGCTGGAGTAATATAAGGTACTTAACATAATTATATTCATATACATTTCGGAGATTCTGTTTAACTCGCCTCCAATTCGTTTTCGTCGAAAATGCTTAGCAAATTGTCGGGTATGATTGCATTGAGACCCTTAAGAAAGCTGTCGACTTCATCTTTGACGCTATTGCAAAGTCGCTGCTGTGCCAAAGCATCTAGATATTGATTTTTGGTTGCATTGGTAACGCGTGTCTTGGCACCATTTGGAATGAGTTCTATGGACTTGATTAGTTGACCGCTGGTGTCATACACATCCTCTACGAAATACAGCTCCAGTGTGTCAGTGCCATCCAAGTCCGTATCGAGAATGTACTTAATTTTCGACAAATATAAATCTGGATCATCCTGCTCGAAGTACTGAAATACGAGACACAATATAACTTTTAGGACAAGAAATGGTATACACAGATATGGAATCCCACCTTATAATGTACTCTTAGCCCAATGAGCTGGGCCAAAAAGGATCGGCTGAACCGTGCGCGCACCAATTGTCTATAGCTGCCGCCTAAAGCACTCTCGAACAGACATTTGCCCACAATTTTGCCCGCAAACTCAAAATACTTGAGTTTCAGATGTGAGGGCCGCGTCGGATTCGGATGCACCAGGGCCTGGTGCTTCTCGTGAAACGTACAAAAGAGCCCACTTCTCGAATCGAAGAGAGCGCTGCAAACCAATTCGAACCATTCGCGCCGCAGGCCACCCCAGTCGATACCTTGCTCCCCCTGGAAGGTGACTTCGAAATTGCCACACCAATCTGAAACGCTAAATCCTTTGGTGGCCTTCATACTGCTTTCGAGGATCTTTTCGCGATTTACTTTGAGGGCCATCTTCTCGTGGTAGTAACTGGCATGAAATTTGCGCACTTCGTGATAGAAGAAATCCTGTTTGTCCTTAAACGTCTCTGAGCCACCAATGTTTTTCAGCAGAAAATGTGTGAAGGTTGCAGCGATAATGTTGCGGTCCTTCGAGGCAAGTTCAATGCGTGGCTGAGCTCCATCGTCTATAATGAAAACTGGCCCATGCAGCTGCGTTACCAGCTGGGGCAGAAAATGGAACTTGGTCGACGGACACAGCCGAAAGGTGGCAATACGTTTCGGTATGAACTTCAAAATCATTTCCTTAATCGTCACCTGAAAGATCAACGAGTTCTGAGCCTCAACATTTCGCACAAATAACGTGAGCCTTATGTACACCACTACTCACCTGCTTCGGCCCCACATAGCACATCACCTTCCGCGGTTTGCTCTTTGTTGTTCCATAAATACTCAGCAGCTTCGCCTCGTAGCAAATATTGTGCTTTCGGGATGCAATATTTTTATGAACGAGTGTTGTGTCGCTACCTTGAAGAACCAAAGTACAAAAATGCTAGAAACTAATAGTCTAAAACAGCGATCGATGTGTAAGATTATCAAATCTTGAGTAAACTACTTGAAATATCAAATAAGTATCTAAGATATTTAGTAAGACCATTTCATCAGATCCGCATATATAAGAGCAGTTTACTACAAATACATTGGATCCTACAGACTAAAATTTTTACCTCTAGACTCGAACCTATTTTTAGATTATGAAATTGACGAGATCAATATGATGTTTGGGTGAGTGTACGGTGGGACGTGCAGGCAGAAGGGACAGAAAAGGGTAGTTCAAGTGAGATAGACACACTAATTGGAATATATATAAAATAAAAAATATTACAGGAATTTTACAATAAGTTGGTATAAGAGGATATAAGAGATAAAATGATTATATCTAAATATCAAAAATATCTTATGATAATCCAATTAATTTGATACTTACTGCTGAGCACGATTATGTCAAAGTCCCCATTGGGAAGTTGCTGATCTCGATAGCTGATGCTAGCTCTCAAGCAAATCGGCTCTGGAAAGAGAGCAGTGACTGAGACCCGCGAATTGACACTGTCGTAGCTGAAGACAATGGCGTTCTGCAGCTTTTCGACGGACACGCCGTGTAAGTCGTAAATAGCGACACGGTAACCCTGCAAAGCGATATGTTGATTAGTCTCTGAGGTGGGTTGTGAGTTAAGTGTAATGTACCTGCAACGCCTCATCGGACTGCTCGAAAATACACGCGTTGCCAAACTCGTCCCTCGGTTCAATGTGCATCAGAGTCGGTGCACTGGCGCAGCAGATTAGCGTACTAGCCGGTCGAATGAATCGTGATCTGCGTGGATCAATGGCCCCGGGCAGAAAGTTGCGTACGAAAGGCGAACCGGCTATATGACTGGCGCCGATCAGTACAGAAATGTTGTACTGGCCCGCAGTGCGAACCGTAAACTTGACTTTGGCAATGTTGGCATTATTGGGATCTGTAGATGAGCCCAGCTCACTGATTGTTACCACCTTGCGTGTGCCCTCGGTGACCTCTACGAAGAATTGGTCGGTATCACAGATGGGATACGGCTGGCCGTTGCGCTGAAAGAAGCGCACAATGAAGCACATGGTGCCGCCGACGTGGGCCGGGTCTTTCCAGTCCCACTGAACCCTGCAGTTGGCGGGCAGAAGATACTTTCCGGTTACATACTGCAGAAGCGAGTGGCGCGCCTCGGGCGCCAGAGAAGGCTGTGTCATCGCGGCGAGTGTGACCAGACCGGCAACGGAAACTGAGACCACGAGCATGCCGCCCCATGTCCAGGCGTCCTGATGTTGACTTGACTTGACCACCGTTGACCACAGCTGSGCCTTTAAAGCGTCCAGCTGTGCCTTCGATGTGGGCAGCCCTTGACGGGCAGTCGACCACAGTTGCCAATCCTTGCCGAGTATCTTACTGGCACGCGAATCTTCGAGCCAGTACACGTCCTCTAACGAGGCCACCTCAACAGCCAGCAGACGCTGGTAATGATGCTGCATACGATATTCCCGTAGCCATTCGCGCAAGATCAACTTCTGCTGTAGGTGGAGGGCAGCGCGTTGTAAGCGCTGTTCGTCCCCCGGCGGCAGCTCGGGCAGATGCTCCGGATCGCCAGAGCTTGATAACGACGAGATTCCTACGCGGAAGACACGACGGAAGTGGAAGGGAAAGCAGAAAAAGAAACAGAACAAACGGAAACGGAGAATAAATATTTAGTTACACGTAGCAAATATTAATTAAATATAACAAACTTTTCGCGTCAAGCCTAATTGAGTTAAATGGTCATAGTTTGTGAGAAATACGAAAGTTTTGCGATATCGACGTTCGACGTTCGACATCGAAAGTGGCAGCGTCATCAGGACACGTTCATTGTGTACTCACAATACAACAAAAATCAACTTAATTGCGTTTCCAATTACAAGCGTACTTATTTAGTCAGGCAACTGCGGCATTGCCGCTCTGCAGAAACTTTGACCACCTTGCCAATCAATTATATTTCAATTTTCGTGAATAACCTGCGAACCAAATCGAGCTGACGGAACTTAAGTTCACAGGCAACGCGTGTGCCAAAACACAAAATATTTATGTACGACCCGACTATATATATATATATATATATATATATAGCCGCTTGTCGCTTATCGGTCCTTGTTTACCCTCCAAATAATACCTTCTGTGCATTGTCACCCATTTAGTGATTTCGATAATATACTTATTGTTCGTAGAAATATTTGAGCATTGAGGTCTTTTTATAGTAAGCAATCATCATTATTAATAGGTAACCCCACTTAATATTATATATTTAGGTATTTGAAAAGTATCACTCTAAAAAGTACAGAAAGCAGAGAAACATTCGGGTGGAGAGATAGAGAGGCAGGGACAAACAGAGAGAGAGAGACAGAGACACACTGCTTAACAAAACTTAATAAAATTTAGTAAGAAAAACTCTGAATAATCAGAGCCAACAATGGCAGTAGAGTTTGTTTGCTGTTTTTCAGCAAAAATATATATATTTATTCAATATTTGACCCGAAATATTCCTTTCCCAACCTGACCATTGACATTAAGGAGGAAAAGCCATAGGCCCTTTTCAAGGCGCAAATGAGTAAAATACAACGCTAATCTACATGCAATCTAACGTTAGCCAGAGAGCCACGAAAATAACGTTATTGACTATTACTAAAAATACGTACATACGAACGGAAAGAAGTAGGCTTGCGTGCATGACACTTGGCAACTATTTTATTTCTTTACCAATTTCTTACACTCGCTGCTCGTACGGCGGAGAACTTCTGATGTCCTTATATTTGTTTGCTTAGTTCGTGCGAAACGAACAACTTCCGTTTGATTCTGATTCGCTGATTCTATAACCAGCATTAAAATGGCGAGAAATGCACAGACCAAACAATGAAAGGCAACTTTTAGTTTTGAAATTTTTTGTTGATATCTAGATATACACATATTCATACATACTTCGAAATTTCATTAATTTTTTATGGTTTTCGATTATCATATTTGAGTTGCAATTCAATAATACAATTTACGATGCACATGGAACAAACCCATTCCTGCCATTATTTTGTCCCACTTAACCCAGTAATTAAGTGAAAGGCTTAAATGTTTATCGGTTATCGGTTATCAGTTTCCATGCACTGTTAATGCGAGTTGCTAATATGCTGTAAGTTTTGTGGACTCACCAATCTCATACGTCAAACACAATTTAAGTATGCCGCGGGGCAAACTCTTTTTTATGGCTCTGCTAGATGGCCAAGACACTTGCATATTATAGATCAAAAGCGCCATATCACAATTACCGCTAAGCCGATCCACAAGCCCCTTAAATTTGACGCAGGCATGGAGTAATATCAATTCATTACCAAGCACTGCATCCTCGGGCGGCAACGGGTACTGAGCCATAAGAGTAATGATATCTTGTGGGTACTTTAATAACTTTCAAAATTTTGACGGAACTCCCAAAGGCGACTACGAAAAAGTACTTTCAACTCAATTTCGTGCTATCAACAATTTAATAACAGTTTCAGACCAGAATGCTCCCGTCTACATTAAACTTAAGAATGAATATGTTGCCTAGCAGACACAGATTTCCGTTTTAATCTATTGTATAAAACAATCGCCTCTTCTACCCATACATTAGTTGATCAATTAATTTCAAATAAGGCGGTTCTATAATATAGTGGGAACGATGTTATTTTATAGTTTTGTAAATATTCAAGTGTTTCTGCATTCAATTAGAATAATTCTATTATTTCAAAACTCCGAATTAAAATAATAGGGTTATTAGAAATATATCAAAAATATCTATATATCGATATAATTTCACCAAAAATATATTTGTAGCGGAATATTTTCTGCCCAAATATCGAATATTTTTGCGATAATATCGAATATATTGCGAATGTAAAAAAATTTAATATGGTGAAAACGTAATATTTATTCTGACTTTAATAATGTAACAGCCAAATGTAATTTGTGCTTTAAAGTAATAAAAACAAGTGTTAACACATCAAATATGGTGTCGCGTATGAAAAACAAACACTATAATACTTTTGAGTACCGAATACTGGAGCTTACTTCTTCTTATTATTCTAATTTTTTGTGATGGATTATAAATTTATTGTGGGAAACAAGTTTCTTTTAAATCGAAAAATATCTAATTTTGTGCGAAGAACCTAGAGCAAAACTTTTTTTTCACGTGAAGAGAATACAATTCTCTTTATGACGAAATGCATTGGTATGTATTATCTTTAGTAGTATTAATATTACAGTGTGTCAAACATTGTGCACTGCAACAAAAAATATACTGCTCAATTTTAATTTTTTTATTTTCTATAGAAAACAAATAAGGACTAAGTAAATTAGTATAACCAAGTTCTTACATTTACGTTTTCCCGACCTTTTTATTATACCCTGAACCTATTTTCAATGGTTGTGTTAAATGTATGTAACAAGCAGAAGGAGGCGTGGCAGACCCCATAAAGTATATATTCTTGATCAGCTGAGTCGATTTAGCTCTGTCCGTCTGTCCGCCCGTGTGTCCGTACAAGCAAGCCGATCTCAGAAGATATAAGAGCTACAAAGCTGAAATTTTGCGCAGTACGAATTTATGATATTTTTTTACGATACTAACCCGATATCTTTTTTATCGAGAATAATCGACAAATTGATTTCGTTTTTTCAGCCTAATTTTAAGACCTGGAGACTTCGGATTCATTTTATATATGTATATACATATATTTAATGGATACGAATATTTTTTAATTTACAGATTTTGTATACCACTCTCCTTTCGTCGACAATTTCAAAGAAAAACGAATAGACCCATTTAAACATTATGATTACGTTCTGAAACAATAAGATTATTCAACAAACAAATTCGCATATTTCCCATACTGCAGCGCAGTCCAAGTGAAGTCGCTGCCTACTGCGCAGTTAGCAGAGCGTGGTCTTATGCGTGTGTGTGGATGCATGTGTATGCATGTGTGCATAAAAGAAGTGCAGAATGCTTCGAATATCAGCTTGGATGGTTCAGGGTATCTCCTAGTCGAGCAGCCTCGACTCTACCTTCTTACTTGTTACGAATGGGTTTTTTTTTCTAAAGTGAAAAGCAATTAGACTGGTCCACAAGGACATCGTCTGTGTGGATGTATGCATGTGTAAACAAATATTATAAATGTTGCAACATTTATGTTGACGAAACAAAAACATGAATAATTTGCGTATTAAATTTTAAATGACAAGCACTCTCCACTTGCCGTCGGGGCACCTTCCACACTTGCCTCAAGTAGCGCCATAAGTGTAGGTGCAGCTTTGGCTGCTCGGCAGCAGCCTCTGCAAATGGCGAATGCCCAAGGTTGGACCACAAATGAGAAGGTACCCGCAATTCTCGAGCACTTCTCTATTAAAAAGTAATGTGTGGATTATATAGAAGAGATTTATCATAAGTAGTGACGACCTAACATAAGGTTACTGAGCCGAAAATCTATGAGAATAATAAATACAGTCGTACAGTATAAGGGCACAAATTTCGTTTGAAAGCTTGAGAATATGTATGTCTTATGTATGTATGTCTAGAAATAGAATATTACTAAATCATAATATTTACCTATTTCTCTGATTTATAT